GCCCGGTGCCTTCCTCGCTTCCTCGCCCTGTGCCCACGGACGGACCGACCCCACGGCGCTGAGACACGCCGTCGAGAGGATTCCCCTAAATTTTATTTTTCCATCCATTTTTGCATTGTTGGTGTGGCTGCAGGCTTTTGTCTTTCTTCTGTTATTTTTTTATTTCTTTTTTTCCCCCTTTTGTTTTTTTTTTGCTTCCCCTCTTCTGTTGTTTCTTCTGGTTCACCGGAAAGAAAGCCGCGCTCCGGAACCTGGCACCGACCCGCCGGCGCTGCAGCAGCAGGGCGAGGAGGAGGGACCGCTACGCTGGAGCCCAGGACGGCTTCCCTGGCTGGGAAAATGGGAATGCTGAGGCGGTGGGGCCCGAGCAGAGGAGGGAGGGAGAGGAAACCTGCTGCTGTGGAGCTGTGAGCATCCCGGGAAGCTGCGTGCGTGCCTGGAGGAGGGGGAGAAGCAGCCTCGTCCCCCGCCTGTTGCGGGCTCCCCTTGGATTCTCTGCCCCCTTGGCGGGGACTTGCCCCAGAGACTTCTGTGATTGAAGGGATCTCGCAGGAGGCGCTTCCTCAGCCGGGTGCAGGCTGCAGTTTCTCTTTTGTGCTCGCCTGTTCCTGTTTTTATTTTTTTTTACTTTATTATTATTTTTTAACCTTAACTTTGCTCTGGAATAAGGGAAACTTTTTAACTTCGGAAACATGTCGACGGGAGAGAGTTTTGAGTCTCGGTTTGAGAAAATCGACGGGACTTTGAAGGACCCCAAATCCGAAGTGAACGTGGACTGTTTGCTGGTGAGTACGGAGCACCGATGGGTCCCCGGTCACGTCTCCCCGAATTCCTTACCCTGTGGGACCGAATCTCGCTCTCCTGGCTGAGTCACCGCCCTGCTCGGCTCCGTGCTGGTGTTTTGTTTACCCAGCGTTGGGCTGAGGGTGCGTGAATGTGCCCGTGTGCCGGGAGAGCGGCTCCTGCCAAGGAGGCGCCTGCCCAGCCCTGCCTCACACTTGTCATCTCTCGCTGCTCTGTGCCCCGCCGGCTGTCACAGGGCCGCGGAGCCTTTCTTTCCACAAAGGCGGAATTCGTGAGTGCCGCTCCTCTGTGTCAGCACAGGACGTCAAATAGCTTTGATACCAGTTCTATCTCCAGCAACTTCTTTAAAGACTGAGGTCCTCTTATGCTGTAGTCACGCACTACAGCGCTGACAGTCGCATACAACACGATTAATAAGCCCTTACAGGTAGGGGCAGGTGTTTAAATGCATTTTAAACTGGTGGTTGTGCTAGGCCTGCTCGCTTGTTGTTTCCCTAACTGATCACACCTAATAGCTGGATCTCACCAGTGCTGTCAGTGTTAAAACCGCATAGGAAGGCAAGCCATAACACTTCCTGATGTAAAACCAACCAACGTCATTTGGTGGCTGATTGACAGAATTGGATGCTCTTTCAGTCCTCATTTAGTTCACTTAGTACCGCAGTAAACTGCATGCCAAATACAAGCAATTTGCTTGGGATACATCTGGGTCCTTAGATACGCCTAGAGATGTCCTTAAATAGTACCAAAGTGTAATTTGTGCTTTCACACTGAAGTAGAGGGCTTATTTTCTTTGGAGCAAGTGATGGAAGTTCTTTAGTGTATTTTTTTCCCTGACTTTCTGTTGTCAGAGAGAGGAACAAATAAATTGAATTTGTTCCTCGTATGAACTCTGACATTTGGGGTTGGAAGGGAAGGGAGGTGTGGGGGTGGAGATAGCTCTTAATAGTCATTCTTCATTTTCTGCTGCATGGTTCTTGGCAGAAAGCTTGCTCGAGCATAAGGCGGCGAATAGATTACAAGAATAATGCAAGAATCTGGGCAAGTTCACAATATTGTTTACTCTCTTTAACTTATTACAGGTTTGTGAGCTTCTGAAGTGTTGGCATATCAGACCTACATCCCTAGATAAAAGCAGAGCCTTGTGGATGCTGCTGTCACAAAGGAAAATAGTGCTGCATCTTCTAGTTAGCTTGCTTCTCTTGATCTGCTTTACCTATCTGTCATCTTAGAGCCACAGCTAATGAGGAAACCTCTGGTTCCTGGGATATAGTGTGTCAATTTTGGTACCTCGAGACTTATCAGACATTTTTACAGCCAGGTTTTATTGATAGGTGTCAAGAGTATAAAGTCAGATAAGAGTTCAGAGTTTTATATTAACCATGGCTCAGTTTGTTAGTATGTGCTGAAGTGCTGGCAGTTCTATGAAAACCTTTCTACAGTGGTAGGAAGGAGTTGGCAGGTATTGGACATGCAGTTGGTAGTATCTTTAACTGTATTCCTTAATCTTATAATCAGTTTAAGGATTTGCCCCATTTCAGTTATCTTAATTGTGATTAGGAGCTAAGCTGTAGTCAGTTTGGGAATGAACTTGCTGGGATGCTTCCTGTCATGCTTGTTGAAAGTTTCAGAACATGTGTTTGCATTACAGATTTTAAGGTCCTTTGAAGTGACAATTTTTTAGGCAATTTCTTTTAAACTATTATCAATTAAAAAAGAAATGCTGCTTCTGAGGAAATCACTTGGTAAGCTAACTTTGTACGTGTTTGGTCAATATATCAGTCTTAACTGCTGGCAGGACATATACTTTGCTTCACTTGTTCTTGGGGTCTTTTCTATAGAAGAATTTAGGTATCCTAACATTTTCTAAACGGCTTAAGTATTTTATACCAGTTCTTAATGTGATGATTCACACTGCAAGCATCATTCTTGGCCCAAAGTACTATTTATATATCAAATCCATTAAAATCTGTATGGATATGCTTTTAAGGAAGAAATGCTGAGGTGTAGGTGTGATTGATCTGCATTTGAATACCTTCTGAAATGAACTCCCTGTTCTCCTCTCGGCAAGTCTCAATTAAAGAGGGAAATTTGACAGACTTTAGACGTGGTACACTTAACAAGAAAGTTAAATCATATTCTTCTGATCCGACTACATACAAAAATTCTTTCTAATAAAACTTTAAAAATCTAAAATATTTTTATCTTTGATTAAAGTTGTGCATTGATGTTCCTTATAACTGCTTTGGCTTTTCCTAAGCAAAGGTGGTAGCTGACTGTGTGTGTCTGAGTGGAAATACAGGAATAGCAGATACACAGACACTTCAGCATCTGATACTCTGTGTGTGTAGGTTTAAAATGCTGGGGTTCATTTAGGTTCAGGGAACATTTTATTTGGCTGTACGGTGAAAAGTCCCAGCAGTGCTCTTGGCTTCTCTTAGGAGGGTTTTATCCTCTGACTTGGTTCCATTTTTCTTCTGCTCTTATATTTCTTCCCCATCAGTTTGTACCCTTTGTCGACTAATAGGCAAGACATGGGCTAACCTTTAAATCAGCTTTGTAGCCGTTTTGGGTTTTGCTGACTGTCATAAGCTATGTTCTGTATGCTAGAAAGAGTCTAAATTTAAATGTGAAGCAGTATGAGAACTCTAAGAAAAGAAGGTGGGGGTGGGGCCTGATACAAAGGAAGATGTGTTTGTTACCGTTTGAGGAAGGTGTGGGAGAAGAGTGCTGACAACAGAGCAGAGCAGGCGGAAAAGGCACACTGAGGGCCTTGTAACTTCAATTTGCATGCTGCAGGAAGGAAATTCATAAAGCCCAAGTGCAGGGCAGAGATGTGTTTATTTTTCCCGTTTGCTCTTATGTAATAAAAAACAGAGTAAGAAAATAAGTTTAGGTTGCAACTGTCTGTGACAAAATTTGTTTCTTTGGGGCTTCCATGCACTTGATTTAGTATTAGGCAGAGGAATCATAGATAAGCTGTTTTGGTTTTTGGTTTTTTTTTTGGATGAGGCATGAGGAGATTCAAGCCTGATTTAAGTATAGATGATGTGTCACAGCATCATGTAGTGCATTTTCTCAAAATA